AAAATTATACGAACATTGAAAGAGAGGCTCTATCTATAACATATGCTATGAAAAAATTTCAAGAATATTTGATTGGGACAAAATTGATAGTAACAGATCACAAACCGCCAATATATTTGTTTTCAAAAACACTCAAAGAGAATACTTCAATATCAATGCGTTTACAAAAGTGGAATTTAGCAATGGGAGCTTATGATTACACAATAATATATAGACCGGGGAAACAGAACTTGGTGCCAGATTGTTTATCAAAATTACCATTGACAAATACAGAAAATGCGATAAAGAATATAGAAGATGAAAAAATTGATGACAAATTATGGGAAATCCCAATAAACTTCAATAGAATAGTTAAAGAAACAAATATGGATGAAGAATTAATGGAAATAATTGATGATATTAGGAAAAACAACCCGATTAAAAATAAAACATACAAAAATATGGAGATAGAATTAAGCTTGGTGAAAGATTGTCTTTTTAAGGAGAACAGAATAATAATACCGATGAACATGAGAAAGGAGATCTTACGTGAATCACACAAGGGACATCTAGGAGCAGGCAAAACGAAATTGTTAGCAAGAGATTACTTGTGGTGGCCTGGTATAAACACAGAAATAGATCAAGAAGTGAAAAATTGTGATACATGCAATAAATACGCTGATAACCCACATAACATACAAAACACATGGGAGGAAGCAACTATGTTTTTTGAAAGAGTGCATATAGACTTTGCAAATATTGAAAATGACAACTTTATGGTATTTATTGATGCATATAGCAAATTTCCAATAATAACACGGATGAAAAACTTAACAACTGAATCTACGAAAAAAGAATTAATGAGAATCGTTAGTTTATTTGGAATACCATACAAAATAGTTACGGACAATGGTACTAATTTTACCAGCCATTTATTTAAAAAATTTTGTGAAGATCGTGGAATAAATCACATACTCATAGCACCGCATCATCATCAATCAAATGGGCAATGTGAACGCTTGGTAAGAACGATGAAAATGAGCATGAAAAGAAACATGGAAAACAACAAGAAAATCGATGTGGACATTGCGTTGGAAAAATTTTTGTTCAATTACAGAAACACGCCTAATGATACAACAAAGATGATACCTAGCAAATTGATGTTTTCAAGAACAATGAGGACTAAATGGGATTTAATCAAACCAATGGAAGAATATATTTAAGAGGAAAATATCGGACAATAGAGATATAGATGTAGGAGAGAAAATTTGGTATAAAACGTTTAAAGAAAATATTTGGGACAAAATGGTGATACAAAAAGAAGGAAACTTAACGTACAGAATAGACAATGGACATCATATTATTAGGAGACATTTGGATCAAATAAAGAAGAGAGCATCGATAGATAATACTGAAAAATTTTTTAGAGGGGGAAGAAGTGAACAAGTTCAAGTTCAAAAAAAACAAGTTCAAGTTCAACAAAATTCGAAAATTCAATATCAAAAAAGCGAGAATATGACTACGACATAGAAAATGATTGTTATAAATAAAAAAAAATTTTGTAAAAAAAAATATATATATATAATTTTGAAAGAGAAATGGGATGATCAATACAAACAGCATTTCAACAAGCAATGTTCAACCAACGACGTGCAACCAACGATGTTTCATGATGTTCGATAATCGATTCAACAAACGATAATCAGATGGTCAAACAAACAATCTAAAGATATACGTGCAAATGACTAATGGAGCTATTGAGAAACGAATGACTGTAAGTGAAGATAAGAAAATGAGGAAAGAAGAAAAAAAAAGAGAGGGAAATGTTAATATATAAATTTTGCATATTTTAATAACCTTTGAAATTTATATTTTCTTAATTTCTTTTTAAATTTATTTAATGACCTTTTTTTCTTTTTGTGAAATATATTTTGTGCGACCTTTAAAAAAAGATATCGTATTTGTATATGTAAAACGTTAAAATAACTTAACCTTAAAACAAATTGTAAACTGTAACTTTTCTTAAAGTAACCTTAAAACAAATTGTAAATTATATATATGTAAATAGTATTAAAATAATAATATATATAGTTGTAAAATTTTCAATATCTTCAGTAGTGGTAATAGTAATAAAAATAAAGTTAAATTAAATAAAAGATTTCAAATATTTTTTTGGTTTTTCTTTACCTGCCTTCCATGAATATAACATGGATTTTTCACTATTTGAGGGGAAAAAATTCAATAGTTTTATTGAAACGCCCTTAATTTTGTTGAACAAGGGGAAAATTTCCCTTATTAGATGCATCTGTTAGAATTGCGTATATATGCCCATCTTTCAAATCGTCAAAAATTGACCTCCTGGATTTAGGTCTTAAAACATTAATGATAGCCTTGCTCATTTTTGTTCTACAAGTATAATTTTCATTTATATTAAAGTCGTTATTATGGAAAATAGATTATACCAACATTGTGATGATAAGTATCTCTGTGAATGTTGTACTACAAGATAAGTACAATTGCCGCAACTGTAGTTGCATCTGTATTATATCTTATTTTGGAGTACCTTATTATGTATTTAAACGTGATACGTGATAATTAAGCGCCCCTATAATGTTATACACACACACGGTAGATTTCCAATATTGGTCATTTTGAGGGACATTTGCATAAAATATATTTTTAATTGTAAAATTAAAATCGTTTTTTTATATTTAAAAAAGATCGTTGGTTTTTTTTATAAATTAATATATTTTAATAAATCAAGATGTTATTGTATTTTGAAAAATAGTTACCGTTTGTATTTATATAAACTAATTATAAAAAATAATAGGCGGATAATTAAATTCAAAATCCCGGCCGAAGGCCGCCCGCAAAAATTTTTTTTTTTAGCAATTTTTATATTTCTACCGCAATTTTTATGTTTCTCCCGCATAATACCAAATTCTCCCGCAATTTGAAAATTTTGACCTGGCAACCCTGAGTATGAACCAAGTTGAATTTCAAAAATTTGAATCAAATTTAGATTGAACAAAGAATCTAAAGAAAGCTATTATGATAAAAAAATTAAATGAAATATCTTAAAAAAATATTACTATCATTATTTATAAAATCAACTTTTTTCCTATTTCAAAATATGAGGATTTAAAGATAAAAGGCTAACTCGATATTTTAGCCAAAAGAAAATTAAGCTTGGAAACTTTTCCGACAGATGACCTAACTTGCGACAACTTTGGAAAATGTTATATCAAAATGAAATAGACTGGTTATGGTAAAATTTAAAATAATTAGTATAGCTAATTATTTTCATCAAGCGAATAGGTTGACCTATTGTTTAATAAAAAAAATTTAGATCATTTTTAATGCCGTAAAAAAAATAAAAATAATTTTTAAAAAAATATAACCAAAAAAAATGATGTATTTTAATTTTAGTTTTATTTTTATTATTCATGACATGACCACGAAGCCACCCAAGCTCAATTACATTGTTATCAAATCAAATGAGAATATAGTATATTAAAAAAGTTAACCAAATGCCAATATTTAAATAATTAATAACCTTAAGGAATTTTAGAGGTATAATATAACAAAATTAATTCAACCAATTTTTTTTATAGCAAGGTAAATATCGTAACTTGAACTGCGAACTCATTAGAGAAGCATCATTGAAATTAGAGGGGGGATAGATAGTTATGAAATAATTATCATTATTTGAAAAATTGGAAAGGGATGAATGGTATTTTCTTTTTTTAATTTTTTATATTTGGTAGGAGGTTAAAAGTTTTGAGAGGGTTGATATCATTTATAGATAGGTATACAAGCCCCTGTTAAAGTGAATACATTATATTCTCCACAGTCCTTTTCTTAAGTTAAAATAGGAAATGGTATAGCAAGTATTATCTTATTTTAATAGATCCCTTTAGTTCATATTTTTTTTATATCTAATTTACATATAGAATAAATATCCTTACAAAATAAATTTCCTTATAAAAAGTTTTTTAAAAAAGATTTTTTTATTTATTGAATATGTGAAGGAAAAAGTAGAGCATTGCTATATCATATCGTCTAAACCAATAGTTTGTTTGTTAAATATATATAACTGAAGTGTAAAATTTTAAAATCACTGATTTGGACAAAGACTGGTTAAAATCGTTTTAAACTTTGCCCTTTAGTGTAATACTTGAGTATTATTTTATAATAATATTTTAATAATAATGTTGCTCATCAAAAGGGATCATATTTATAAGGGACAACAACTATATGACTCAAGGGCTAGGAATATGAATTTTAAAATAATTTTATAATGCATGACGAAAGGTAGTTATTTTTGAAATATTAATCGTGGGATTGATGTGGTAGAGAAAGACTTCGTCACATAAAGAATTTGTAAATACCCTCATAAAATCTGTATCTTGATGAATGAGTCTGTATGTAGCTAGCTAAATTTTATACCAAAGTAGAACTTCCTATATTTTTGTCACAAAAAAATAATGCAAATATAAAAAATTTGGGACTATTATATAAAAACAAAGAAAATTTTTATTATTTGTAGATAAGAATTTAAAAAATTAAACATTAAATGTTATATTAATAGCGATTCCTTTAAGATAATCTAATCTTGATCAGTCAGAAACAAGTTACTATTCTCGCATTTAGATTTAGATATTTTTTTCTCGAGGTAGAGGGTGTTTCATTAGAATTATATTGAGCAATTTTTAACTGTCAACCATTGTTGTTTTTTTAAGCCTAGAATATAAATTATATAGTTTATTAGTAAATCTTTATACTTTTTAAATCATTTTAAAATAATAGATATATAGATAACTTGATATAAATTTCCACATGTTTGGATGGTGACTTGTTAGGAGGGAACTGAAGCATCTATGCCACCCTTCAACCGCGTTGTTGGTTTTCGCTTCCCCGTTATTGGTAACAATTCCATAGTTCAATATTAAACAAAGCAGGTAGTCTGCCTCTACCAAACGTTTTACCAATGTAAGCTTTTCAAAAGTTTCAATTAGAGGCTAAAGTAACAATTGATTATTAGAATAAAATTCGGAGTTTATTAGTAATTCAAATGTTTCAACTACATTTAAGGGTGGCACAAATGCTAAGCAAACCATCATTCTAAGTTGTATATTAAATTCCACATCTGTTTTATATTTCTGCGATATTTTTGGATATTTTTGAATGTTTCGCCAAAAGGATTGGCCAAAATGGAAATAGCAACATTTGTGTTGCGAACTGGGAAACACTTCATTAAAAGCTTTTACCCTGGCCATTTCAAAATCCGTCATTATTTTTTTTGAAGTTGATATTAAGTTGTCACCTATAATAGTAAATATACTTTTATATGTTTCATAATCCTTTCTATTGGTCAATATATATATGAGAGGTAAATCATTATTATTTTTAATCCCATGAATTGTATAAATTTGCGTAAATAAAGGTGGCGACGATTTAAATGTACCATCAGAAAACCAATGTTCGCATGAAGCTAAGAAGTCTAAATTTTTTCTTGTTCCAAATATGATAACATGGTCGGGAACCTAGCATACATGATAAATAAATAAGCAATTATAATAAAGTGATTCTTATCGGGCAGTTATCGCAATAAAAATGAAGGATTTAGTTATATTTGTTCAAAAAATTTATAGAAAATCTTACCGGACCATCATCATTAAGTATGAAATCCTCATACTTATCTGTAATTGAATATTCATGCGGAATTACCAGCTCAATAAGGCTGCTAGGATTCGGAGGTGCAAAACTGTTTGAACTCCGCGTTCGGTGAATTATACGTTTCATAAGATTCGGTGATGGTAGTGCCATTGATATAGAATCACTTAATCGAGATACGTGTTTCGCCACAATAAAGTTTGGAGTTTCCATAGTATTATTCAAAGCTTCATTCTTAATTGAATTGATTATTTTCTTGGTTTCCATTTCGATTGGATTTTCTGGATGATTGTGTATTTCTTTATTATCTTTTATCTTACCATTTATTTTTGTAAGTCGTACGGGACATTTAAAAATATCCTGATTGATACATCTATAATAATTAATATCTGAGACTACTTTATCCAGGCGGAACAAATAATTTTTAAAAGTTAGGATCTCCTTATTTTTGCTTGATAACATATTTTATAAGACTCCGAAATAAAGAGGAATGGCGAAAATATTTATAATTTATAACCAAAGGAATGGCACCAGCCAGACGAGAAAATTTTTTTTTTTAAATTTCGGCAATATTTTTTTTTTAAAATAGTTATAATTTATCAAATATGTCATTAATTATTTGTTAATTTTTAGTGTAGCTATTTTTTTAATTATATTTTAAAATTATTTAAGATTCAATAAGAACCCATATCAAAATATTATATTTAAATTAATTGAAATTAATGCCGAGTTATTATACTAAAAATTTTATCACGCCCCCCCCCCCTTCAAATAAACAGAAAAGATAAAAAGATATCTATAAAGATCGTAAAATAATAAATTAATAAATATTTTAAATTGAGGAAATCCCTTATTTCACTTAGATGTAATTTATTTTTGAATTGCCATTTAAAATTGATATTCTAAACAGTAATGTTGTAGAATTTATTCATCTACACTGTTTAAGAATAGTGACTGCCAAAACCACGGTTGTGCATTTGACCGGTCAAATGTTTAAAATCAAATAAATATTTTTTTATATTGAATATCATCATTTTCTTTAATATTTTTTAATCAATTTTCTTTTTGTCTAAATCTTCAGTCAATTTCTTTAGTAAGATTATTGACACAAATCGACCAATTTCTTTCCGAAGAAGAAGTAGATCTAGGAATTGTTAGTAATGCCACTTCTCTTAATGGCCATGGTGGTCAAATCTAATTTCATTGCTTGAGATTGAAATCTGATTGCTTCTTATGGAAGTTATTGCTTTCTCCATGATTTTCTATTAAAAGCCGCTTTTATTTCTGAAATTTATGATATAACTTGAAATATTTTGATCACCACCTTGTATGCCTAATCCTCCCCCCTTCAATTGACCCGTCAAAATTTAGTCATTTGACTGGTCAATTGACTGACTTGCTAACCTTGGCCAAAATTGATTGATAAATTTATAAATATTAAGTCATCAGACAATAAATAGGAATGCTACCCAGATATCAATTTCGTCAGTAAATATCAAGATTTAACTAATAAACTCAATGATTAATATATTGATAAAACTGAGTTCCTTGTGCGCGATTATTATAAAATAAGAACTTCGAAGAAAAGGATAGGATAGCGAAAAAAGTGTATTTCAATAACAAATTTCATAAACCAGATCTAAGTTTATTAATCATTATATAAATTTTTTAAGGTTAAAAGATTACAAACTATGTGAATTAAAAAAATATTATTCAAATAATATAATTATAAAAAAATGATTCAAAATAAATTAGTCCTTATTAGCAATTATCGTGATATTAAATTCTCTATAATAAATTCGCGATATATGTTTCGGGATATATGTTTCGCGATATCTGTTTCGCGAAATCGCTACATTGTCTTCGCGATTTGGGTTTTGCGATAATAACTTCGCTTTATAGGTTTCGCGATAAAGGTTTCGCTATAAAATTTTCGCAATTATTGATTCGCGAAAAAGGTTCGCGCTAATGTATTAACTTCTTCGCGATAAAGGTTTCGCTATAAAATTTTCGCGATTATTGATTAGAGATAAAAGTTGGTAATGTATTCGCATCGCAATAAAGGTTTCGCGATAAAGGTTTCGCTATAAAAAAATCGCGATAAAGGTGTCGCTATAAAAAAATCACGATATTTGTTTCGCGATATTTGTTTCGCATATTATATTCGCGGTAATGTATTCGCTATAAAGGTTTCGCGATAAAGGTTTCGCGATAAAGGTTTCGCGATAAAGGTTTCGCGATAAAGGTTTCGAGATAAAGGTTTCGCGATAAAGGTTTCGCGATAAAGGTTTCGCGATAAAGGTTTCGCGATAAAGGTTTCGCGATAAAGGTTTCGCGATAAAGGTTTCGCGATAAAGGTTTCGCTATAAAGAATTCGTGATATTTGTTTCGCGATATTGCATTCGCGGAATAGTTATCGCTATTATGGATTCGCGATAAAAGTTTCGCTATAAAATCCATTCGCAATAAAAGTTTAGCGAAAAAGTGTTTCACGATAAAAGTTTCGCTGAATTGACATGGAACCTTTATATTAATGTATATACAAGTATTTTATTATATTTTATATACTTTTCAATTCCCCCCCCCCCTAAGGAAAATCCTGGCTAAAAAATCGATTATCACTTTCCATATTCTATTAATGTAAATCTAGTTAATTTTTAATTCAATGAGTCTAGAAATAAACATATGATTAAAAAATTTAAATACCAGTACAAATACAGTACAATCACTTATCACTAATACTATATCTTTATATCCAACTTTGAAGATAATCCTCTATCATACCGGAAGCGATTCCTAATTTTTTATGAAAATAATTTTAGTTCTAAATCATATCTTTATTCCTATTAAATCTGATCTTATCTAACACGTTGGTCATAGACCTGCCCAAAGTGAGCGGTTAGTTATATGAAGGCCCACCCTTCATAAAATTAAGCCGATTTTCTAATGGATACCAAAATACCTTTTACCCAGTTGTAATTTAACAAAAAATGAGTGGGACTTACTATTATAAATGAGATATAATATATATTATTAATGTTATTAATGTCATATACAATACATTATTATGATGATTGACATTATTGATATGTAATATACGAATTACGATAGATATGTCACACATGAATTACTATATTGATATATATATGTAATAAACGAATTTTATATTGGTTTATATTGGCGACGTATTTCTTATTATGAATAAAGGAGAAAAACCAATTACTAGTGGTAAAATGAATATATCAAGTGAAACGAATAATATTAATTAAGTAAATAATATTACACAAATTAAATTTGATAACTTTGATAAACAACAATTTTCAAGATTATATTGAATATATAGATGATGTTTTGGAGTTAAGAGGAATATTAATAAATAAGGAAACCAAGAAAAAAATATTATTTGCTTATATGGGGATTAATAATTTGGCAGAGATGAGGTCACTTATATATCCAAGAATTTTGAAGGAACTTAATTATGAGGTAATAATTGAAGTGGGGGAAAAAGTATTTAAGCCTATTTCAACTTTAATCAGCTCGAGAATTAAGTTTATTTGGATAAAAGAGGGAAAGGTGAGGCAGTTGCTGACTTTGGCCGGCTTAGAAAATTGGCACAAGAGTGTAAATGTTAATCTGACCTGGATGGAAGATTGAGGGATCAGATGATGTCTGGAATCAAAATGGCTGCATTGGAGGAAGATATTCGTACCAGATTTCCAGATGGAATAAATGATATGGGAGAAAGGGTGAGTTTTCAACAGGTTATAAATATGGCTTTGGCAATGGAAAGAGTTGAGGATGAAGTTACAAATATGATGGTAAAAAAGTCAATAAACCTTAGGAACAAATAGAGAATAATCAAGGAAATTTTTTAATCAAAAGTACCCATATAATAATAAAGGAAAATTAAAGTTATTACAATAATAATAATTTTAACAATTTTAAGTACAGAGATAATAGTAAATTTAACAATAATGATATGGGTAAAAACAATGACTGCTAGAACTCACCCCTCTTTTCAATATTTTGCATCAAGGGTGAAATGTTACAATTGCCAAAAGGTAGGGCATTATGCAAAATACTGTAAGGGACCTAAGCCACATGCTATGAATAAAGATGACATTAACTCATTAGATTCAATTAATAACATTTCCCAAATTGGTAGAAGCAGTGCTAAGATATCTGTAAGGATAAATGGAGTACCTATTGAATTTGATTATCATACGAATGCACATGTATCGGTAATTGGGAAACAATATTGGGATGAAATTGGCAGACCCAAGCTTGGACCAACAAAACCTTTGTCAGTTTAGGGTAACCAACCGCTAGATGTAGTTGGTGAGACTATGGTAAGGGTGCGACTTAAAAAGATAAGCAGATCCTTCCGATTGTGGTTACTAGTTCAAATTACATACCATTATTTGGACTACCATGGATACTGGCATTTAATATGTTTATCCCACGACAAGTTACCATACGAAGTATCACAAATAAAGATGTTATAACAATCGATAAACAAATTGCTGGCATGACGACAGAACTTTTAAGTGTTTTTGATGACAAGCCAGGACCAGTAAATGATATGGAAGTTAGCATACATCTGAGTGAGGCAGCAAGGCCGAAATCATGGCCAGCGCGTAGATAACCTTTTCCATTACGATTGAAATGGAAATCGATAGATTGGTTAGATCAGGAATATTGAAGGAGATTGACCCAACAAAAACGCGTATGACTTGGGCTACTCCAACAGTAACGTAAAACAAATGGAGAAATCAGGATTTGTGCGGATTTTAAGGTGACATTAAACTCATTTATTTTATATGACTATCATATAATACCAACGGTTGATGATCTTTTGACCAAATTACAAGATGGTTTGAAATTTACGGTAATAGATTTGAACGATGTCTATTTGCAATTACCAATAAAAGAGAGTTCAAAAGAATACTTAATTATATCAACCCATATTGGTTACTTCCAATATCAATGTATGCCTTTCGGCCTTTCTAGTGCGCTGACCATTTTTCAAAGATATATGAACAATTTATTACAGGACTGCCAAATGACTGGAGTATTGACGATATTATCATAACAGAAAAAAATTAGAACATTTGAAGGTAAAAAAAGTATTAATGAAATTAAAACAGGTTGAAGGCAAAATGGGCCAAAATACATTTTTTAAAAGAATCATTTTCTTTTTTAGATTTTTGTAATAGATAAAAATGGCATCCCAGCGAAAGAAAAAATAGATGCTATTCGATACCAACTCCTAAGAATATACACCAATTACGATCTTTTTTAGGACTTGTGAATTAACACGAGAGATTTTTGCCACATCTGAATGGTATCGCCTCTCCACTGCATAAATTAACAAGCATTCAAAGTTCCTGGGGTTGATCTGACAAGGAACAAGAGGTATTTGATAAAATAAAACAGCTTTTGTCAACAAATAAAACGCTAAT